ATCATCCTCAGGAGTTGGAACGTCGAAACATGTAGAGTCATCAACTTTTTGAAGACCATAGAGAGGGCTAAATAAAATGTTTTTAACTGTGTACCAGTTTAACGTTGAATATTATTTATGATTTTAACATATTGTCATGTTGACTACCAACTGAGCTGATGAAGAGTTCCTGAACTTGAAAGCTGATATGTTTGAAGTAACCTGGTACTTTTCATATGTTTTGTAAATTATGAATTTTTTCTCAGATAAACTGTAGGTGTCACTGAAAACAAACAACAGAATTTTATAAAACATTATAGATTTTTTCATGGTACTCTTGGTAACGACCGTGAACAATCTTGAAGTTTATGTCCCTCTTATAAACATTTTAAACTCTCTACTATTACCTAGCTGTTAGTTAACTTTAAATTTTCTTTACAGCTTTTAGAATTCAAAACAAGGATATCAGAATCTCAGGCTGATCTACAGAAACAACTTGCACAAGCAAAAAAGGTAATTTATAGTTTTATTTTTTCTCTGCTGATTCGATGGTAGAGGCAAAATCCACTTAAAATTCAGCTGAGTGTGAGAAGATACGTTTGGCCTTAGTTGGTCACATGAAAAGTGACTAGCTAAATATAACCTGGGTATTTTAACAAGTGTTCTTAACATTTTAACAGTCACAGAATAAACAAACACTGCTTTAACTTTAGTGAGATAGATAGATAGGCTTAGGTATAAAATGACAAATCTAACATCCTAAATTTTAACACTGCTACTTGGCAGGTTGCCAAGCCTCAATTTGGTTCTCTTCATTGATGCATCTTTTAACTGTCAGTGTTGCAGCTGTTTCTCAAACTATTTCAACTTTTCAATATAATCATGGTGAAATTGGTACTTTTATTACAGATTGTCGACATATATAATTAACCAACTAAAACTGTTTTACCATTTTATGTTAATTAAATTAGTTTGGAAACTTAATTTCTCAAAATTTTTCTTTAAAAAAACAAACTAAATTTTATTAGCTAAATTTTATAATTAAAATTGATTGTCTGGTTAGATTTTTTTTTTTCCATTGAGATTACCATCCGAAGGCTTGTTGATCATTGCTGATTTAGGCTGATGTTAGTGTATTTTTAATGAGCTATTTCTTTCCTCCCAGCTGTAATTAGTGAAATATTTTCTATGTTTCTGCCCATGTATATGCAGTGTTGAAACATTAGAGATGGAAAAAAAAAATCCTGATGAATTTATTGCTGTGGTCAGTAGTTGAAACGCTTACTCATCTCCACATTATCAGTTTCTCAGGTGATCTTTCCATTATTTAGTAAAATATTCACCCAAACAATACAAACTAAATGCACTGTAATAATTCGTAAGAGTTAATCCTTTCCCATTTGTCCATTTCAATTTGTTAGTAATATTGTCCTTTTAAGGACCTAAAAAAGGTTTAAATAGTTATTTTTACTTGTAAAATTATGACTGCAAAAAATTGTACATAACCAAAAATGTTGTGATGTTATGAATCTGTTATTTTAGAATTTTAAAAGAATCTGATTTTTTATTGTCTTTTTAAGGATGCTCAAGAGGCAATAGAAGCCAAGCAACAGCATGAAGACGAAATGTCAGATTTGGCTGAAACAGTGGAACTGGCTACCTTGGATAAAGAGATGGCAGAGGAAAAAGTAGGGAATTATTTAGATTAATACAAAACATTCTAGAAAGCTGTTTTAAATATATATATATGTATGTAAATGAAACAATATAAAAATATCTTTAAAATATTTTAAAAACTATATTATTGGTAATTTAAGACAAATAAATAAAAACACTCATACATAAAAGCATAACTACTGGTTTCATATCTCTCAGGATACTCTTCAATTGTCTAAAATAAGGCTGTCTATAACAAGACATACCTAACAATGTAAGGTCTTGTTAGAGAGAGCCTTATTTTAGAAAGTGAAAAATATCCTGCACGATATGAAACCAGTAGATATGCTTTTACGTGTGTTTTTATTTCTTTCTTTTAAATTAACAATAATATAGAGTTTTAAAACTATTTTTATATTGTTTTATTTTTATTAATCACTTCTCTGAATGAAATATATTTGAATTCTTGTATATGTATTTATATATATATATATATATATATTTTTTTTTTTATTATTATTATTAAACTCTTAATAGAAAGGATTTAAAAACAAAAGCTTCAACTTTTTTGCTAAACACTCCTCTACACGATATATGAAAACATAAACAGAGAAGAATTGTTTTAAAACAAGCTACAAAGAATATACAAGAAGTAGCCATGCAAATACTGTAGGATAGCTTTTCAAAATTATCAACATTGCTGAGATTTTCAGGTTTGTCACTTATTTATTTTAAACTAGTTTACATTTATTTTGAAAGCTATCTAATCACATTTTTACATCAACTAGTATACACCCTAACTCATACGATATTGTAATATTGCCGTACTGTTCAGATTAATGTCTTCTAGTTAATAGTTTTGAGCCATCTCGTGATGTTCGACCCTTATGGATGAATCAATGTTTCTGTCCCCTAGTGCGAGACTCTGCAGGCAGAGATAGTGCAGCTAAAAGAAAAAGTTGAGGAACTTACCCTTGATCTGGAAATAATTCAAAATGAAATTGCTGAGAAAGGTGTGTAAACTTAATTTTTTTGTATAACTAAAGTATTGAGAAAAGTATTAAAACAATAGATATGTGATAGAAATCATTTCAACACAGTCAGTGGGTGTGGCAGAAGAATATTAAAACTTGTATAAGAATAGATATCATGTCACAACCAATGTGGAAAAATATTGTTAGAATCAGTAAATTCATGATAGAAGTTACACCACAACCAGTGTAGCAGAAGGGTATTAGGACTAGTGATTACGTGGTTGGAATCATGTCACAACCAGTGTAGCAGAAGGGTATTAGGACTAGTGATTACGTGGTTGGAATCATGCCACAAACAGTGTAGCAGAAGTTATTAGGACTAGTGATTACGTGGTTGGAATCATGCCACAACCAGTGTAGCAGAAGGGTATTAGGACTAGTGATTACGTGGTTGGAATCATGTCACAACCAGTGTAGCAGAAGGGTATTAGGACTAGTGATTACGTGGTTGGAATCATGCCACAATCAGTGTAGCAGAAGGTATTAGGACTAGTGATTATCTGGTTGGAATCATGCCACAAACAGTGTAGCTGAAGGTATTAGGACTAGTGATTACATGGTTGGAATCATGTCACAACCAGTGTAGCTGAAGGTATTAGAACTAGTGATTACGTGGTTGGAATCATGCCACAACCAGTGTAGCTGAAGGTATTAGGATTAGTGATTATGTGGTTGGAATCATGCCACAACCAGTGTAGCAGAAGGTATTAGGACTAGTGATTATGTGGTTGGAATCATGCCACAACCAGTGTAGCTGAAGGTATTAGGACTAGTGATTATGTGGTTGGAATCATGCCACAAACAGTGGTTAAATTCAAGTTATTTTGGAAATTAGAGGCTAGCCATTAGGCTTGGTGGCTTATAACAATATGAGGTATATACAACAACCTGAACTTGATTTCTATAATGCTTCTACTGGTTGTAATATTTTCTCACGATGGTTGTGGCATGATTTCTACATTTCTACTGGCCCTAATTCACTTCTGCAGAATGATTAGGGCACAATTTCTACTTGTTCTAATAAACTTCTGTCACAATGGTTAAAACATGATTCCTACCTCAGATCTTCTACTCTGAATACCTTTCTGATACACTGATTGTGGTGAAACTTCTATTATGAATCTTCTAATACTTTTTTACCATTCAAAATCAAATCCTGCTAAGATAAAACTATATCAACGAGAGGCAAAAACGTACAAGGAAAAGTGAACAGGAATACCACTAAATATGATACAATTGATTTCTAGTGTTTTATTACTGTTTATTAGGATGTTAAGTACTTACCGATTGGCTTTGTTGTTTGATTTGGATAATTAGTTTATGTAAGTTCTGGATTTGGTTTTGTATATTTTATTTTCCTCATTTTGTTTATTTAATTTTTTTAATATTGTATTGGGAGAATTCAGGTTTTACTACTTGGTACAGCTGTAGTAACTCTGTCCATTTTAATAAAGCAAGCAAGGTACGTTGTTGTATTTTAACTAATTAGAAAAAAAGGTGGTAAAGAGAGACTATGAAGATAGAGGAGACCTAAAACATCTTATACTATGTTCTTTGTGTAAGTAAATCCTATATTTTCAGGTTTTGGCTCTATATTTTCGAGAAAACAGTCCTATATTTATATGGTTTAGACACCAAAAAGTACTTGACACATTGAGTGCTTTAGTATCTTCATGTGTAGGATATTTTTGTTTGAGTTTCTGAGAGAAGTTATTAGAAAGTAATGACATACACATGAATTAATGAGACACACGAAGTAATGACATACGCATGAAGTAATGACATACGCATGAAGTAATGACATACGCATGAAGTAATGACATACACGTGAAGTAATGACAGATGCATGAAGTAATGACATACGCATGAAGTAATGACATACACGTGAAGTAATGACATACACGTGAAGTAATGACATACACGTGAAGTAATGACATACACGTGAAGTAATGACAGACACGTGAAGTAATGACAGACACGTGAAGTAATGACAGACACGTGAAGTAATGACAGACACATGAGGTAATGACACACGCATGGGGTAATGACATACAAATTTATTATCACAAATATGGTAAAAATGGTCAGGTTGTAGAAACTCCTCTATAATTCTCAATCTATAATCCATCTATTATTTTGAGTGCATGACTGTTTCGTATCATAGAGGATATAAATATATAAAAAAATGCTTGCCAACATTAAAGAAAAAAAATTTAAAGACCACTGTGTGATCTAGTGCTTTAGATAGTTCTGTATTTTTGAGAGATTGTAGTGTTACAGTATTACAAAACAAAAACCAGATAAAAGTTTATACTCTAAATTTATCACAATTTGCATGAATGTTTGCATTCCACCCACCAAAATAAAAGAAGAGTAAGAACTTCCATACTGACTACTTCAACTAGTATAACTTGTATAAGTGTTTGAAGTGCTGGTTTGATTTGTTTGTGTAGGAACTGAAGGTGCAGCCTCAAACTACCAAGTAAAACAACTTGAACAACAGAACGAAAGGTTAAAGGAAGCCTTAGTGAAGTGAGTTCAGTTTCTTTCTTTTTTTTATTATTACTTGTCAATTTAATTTTTTTTATATGTATGAGTTTGCTGAAAGAGTTTTAAAAATCAAACACACTTCCTGATATATTAAATAGTGTAAGTTTCTTATTTTTTTTCGTATTTGTTTGCCAAAACAATTTTCAAAACAAACACTTTTCCTCGTGATATTTTGAACACGGGTTCTCTGTCATCTATGTTTATGTTTGCAAAAAGAGTTTTTGAAAATGACATCCATTGTCATTTGTGCGTGTATGTGATTTATTTTGGGGGGGAACATATGATACATTTTGACAGCCCAATGTTCTGTTGAAATGGGTAGTATGTTCCCTGAAATCATTGTTTGCCAACTTATTATATTAGCACCAGCTGAGGTACCT